AACTGACATAGACGATTATCTTAAAACATTTTTTAAATGCTGCCTCATTTTGTTATTTATGCTTTCGTAATTAACAGTGTTTGGCATAACATTATAAAATAATGATGTTGCAAATGCTATTGCATATAGTCCGCATTTAACACTACCCATTGGTTGTTGATCAACAGTAACAAAAACTACTGGTGGCTTAAAAGGATATAATCTACTTAAATAATTCAACTGATCTCCATTGAGACATTTTTCATTAAAAATATCAAAAATATAACTTCTTGTTGTAATAAATTTTACGAGGCCTTATACGGTGTAAACAATTTGATTCATTTTGACGATGTTTCGATACATTGAGTATCCTCTTCAGGTCAAATAATTGAAAATAAAAAACAAACAGTCGTTCAGTCATTTCATCGAAAATAATAATAATAATAATAAATTAATGGAAACCCTCTTTATGAGGTGTTTCTGTTTTCTTTTGTTTTTTCGATGAAATGACTGAACGACTGTTTGTTTTTTATTTTCAATTATTTGACCTGAAGAGGATACTCAATGTATCGAAACGTCGTCAAAATAAATAAAATTGTTTATACCGCATAAGGCCTCGTAAAATTTATTACAACAAAATAAATGAAAACGGATGTAAAATTTATCAAGGAATATAAATTCTTACTCCATCATAATACGTACAAATCCAATGACCCCTCTTATTATGACCACTAAATAGTATTTGAATATGTTTTTCGCCTACTCCAATAGGTCTAATATATTCAAGCAGATCTTCATTTACAAATAAAGTACTTTGCATTCTAAACATAGAATTCGATTCTCTTTCCAAAATGTTTCCCAATTCATAAATATGATTATCACTTAACATTTTTTTATTATTAAGTATTTCTCTATATTCTCTAGCACTTAAATTAACATGGCCTTCTATTCTCGACATTTTTTAATCGATATTTTCTTCTTAATCTAATTTTAAGTCCAATTTGTGGGTTTTGATAATAATAATTACGTTTTCCCAATTTATATTTTCTACATCACAATTTCATCAATTCTTACAAAATAATTGTCTCCTATATCAATAATACAATCCAACCAATATTTAACTCATAAAACAATATTCAAGATTTCAACTAATAAAGTGTATTTACTCCATTTCAAATAAGCCACATTCCAATTTTATCCAATATTTAATTATTTAACCAACATATTAATATTTAACTAATCAAATCATATTTAACCTATAAAACAATGTTTTTGAATTCAACAACCAATATTCTATTTAATTCATTTTCAATATGTCAAATTCCAATTTTATTCAATATACATATCCAATAAGCCCTAAATTCAATTCTATCCAATATATATTCTATTTAATATATTTCAAATTCGTCAAATTCGTCAAATTCCAAATTCATCCAATTTACATATCCAATAAGCCTAAATTCAATATTATCATATATATTCTATTTAATCTATTTCAAATTCGTCAAATTCCAATTTTATCCAATATATTCCCTTTATTCCATTTCAAATACGTCAAATTCCAATTTCATTCAATATATTTCTCTTTAATCCATTTTAAATGCATCAAATTCCAATTTCATCCAATATATATATTTCTCTTTAATCCATTTTAAATTTTAAATACTTTAAATTCCAATTTCATCCAATATCCAAATTTCAATTTTATCCAATATTTCTTTTCTTATCTTTTATTTCATCCAATATTCAAACTTCAATTTTATCCAATATTTCTTTTCTTATCTTTTATTTCATTCAATATCCAAATTTCAATTTTATCCAATATTTCTTTTCTTATCTTTTATTTCATTCAACATCCAAATTTCAATTTTATCCAATATTTCTTTTCTTATCTTTTATTTCATCCAATATCCAAATGTCAATTTTATCCAATATTTCTTTTCTTATCTTTTATTTCATCCAATATCCAAGTTTCAATTTTATCCAATATTTCTTTTTTTATCTTTTATTTCATCCAATATCCAAATTTCAATTTTATCCAATATTTCTTTTCTTATCTTTTATTTTATCCAATATTCAAACTTTAATTTTATCCAATATTTCTTTTCTTATCTTTTATTTCATTCAATATCCAAATTTCAATTTTATCCAATATTTCTTTTCTTATCTTTTATTTCATTCAATATCCAAAGAACGGTGCTGAAAAAGGGCCAAAATTTGCCTATAAGGGAATTGTAAAAGCATAGTGGTTTCCAACAGTTTGAACCCTGCTGAAACCGAAAATGATAGTTAAAAAGTTGCAAAGTGAAGGGGAAGGGGTGAAAAACTACCCCTAAGTCATAAATTCCAATAATTTATGAAAATTAAGAACATCTAAAAAAATAAATCAAAATCGCTTGAAAATTGTTACTCGGGGGTTTTTGGGGTCGCTGATTACGAATCTGATGTTAGTTTCCCAAAATTCAAAATGGCGGATCCAATATGGCGGATGACTTTTTAAAAAAATGATACAATTCGCTTGAAAATTGTTACTCGGGGGGTTTTTGGGGTCGCTGATAACGAATATAATATTGGTTTTTCAAAATTCAAAATGGCGGATTCAATATGGCGGATGACTTTTTAAAAAAATGATACAATTCGCATAAAAATTGGTACTCGGGGGTTTTTGGGGTCGCTGATAACGAATATAATATTGATTTTTCAAAATTCAAAATGGTGGATCAGATATGTAATAAAACTAAAACGAATCCATTTGTTTTTAAAAATTGCCCGCCATGTTGCATCAGCCATTTTGAATATTTGAAAACTAACATCGGGTTCATTAACAACTACTAAAAATCTCCCAAGCAAAGCGCTTAAGCAAATCTATAAAAATAAGATTTAATGCATTTAAGGTAAGATGTAAGTTACTTCTAATCAATGAAGATAAGACGCAAGGCATCTGACCTGTTAAGGTAAGATGTAAGTTGCATCCAATCAATGAAGATAAGATGCATGGAATCTGACCAGTTAAGGTAAGATGTAAGTTGCATCCAATCAATGAAGATAAGAAGCAAGGAATCTGACCAGTTAAGGTAAGATGTAAGTTGCATCCAATCAATGAAGATAAGATGCAAGGAATCTGACCAGTTAAGGTAAGATGTAAGTTGCATCCAATCAATGAAGATAAGATGCATGGAATCTGACCAGTTAAGGTAAGATGTAAGTTGCATCCAATCAATGAAGATAAGATACATGGAATCTGACCAGTTAAGGTAAGATGTAAGTTGCATCCAATCAATGAAGATAAGATGCATGTAATCTGACCAGTTAAGGTAAGATGTAAGTTGCATCCAATCAATGAAGATAAGATGCATGGAATCTGACCAGTTAATGTAAGATGTAAGTTGCATCCAATCAATGAAGATAAGAAGCAAGGAATCTGACCAGTTAAGGTAAGATGTAAGTTGCATCCAATCAATGAAGATAAGATGCAAGGAATCTGACCAGTTAAGGTAAGATGTAAGTTGCATCCAATCAATGAAGATAAGATGCAAGGAATCTGACCAGTTAAGGTAAGATGTAAGTTGCATCCAATCAATGAAGATAAGATGCATGGAATCTGACCAGTTAAGGTAAGATGTAAGTTGCATCCAATCAATGAAGATAAGAAGCAAGGAATCTGACCAGTTAAGGTAAGATGTAAGTTGCATCCAATCAATGAAGATAAGATACATGGAATCTGACCAGTTAAGGTAAGATGTAAGTTGCATCCAATCAATGAAGATAAGATGCATGTAATCTGACCAGTTAAGGTAAGATGTAAGTTGCATCCAATCAATGAAGATAAGAAGCAAGGAATCTGACAAGTTAAGGTAAGATGTAAGTTGCATCCAATCAATGAAGATAAGATGCATGGAATCTGACCAGTTAAGGTAAGATGTAAGTTGCATCCAATCAATGAAGATAAGATGCATGTAATCTGACCAGTTAAGGTAAGATGTAAGTTGCATCCAATCAATGAAGATAAGAAGCAAGGAATCTGACAAGTTAAGGTAAGATGTAAGTTGCATCCAATCAATGAAGATAAGATACATGGAATCTGACCAGTTAAGGTAAGATGTAAGTTGCATCCAATCAATGAAGATAAGAAGCAAGGAATCTGACCAGTTAAGGTAAGATGTAAGTTGCATCCAATCAATGAAGATAAGATGCAAGGAATCTGACCAGTTAAGGTAAGATGTAAGTTGCATCCAATCAATGAAGATAAGATACATGGAATCTGACCAGTTAAGGTAAGATGTAAGTTGCATCCAATCAATGAAGATAAGATACATGGAATCTGACCAGTTAAGGTAAGATGTAAGTTGCATCCAATCAATGAAGATAAGATGCATGTAATCTGACCAGTTAAGGTAAGATGTAAGTTGCATCCAATCAATGAAGATAAGAAGCAAGGAATCTGACCAGTTAAGGTAAGATGTAAGTTGCATCCAATCAATGAAGATAAGATGCATGGAATCTGACCAGTTAAGGTAAGATGTAAGTTGCATCCAATCAATGAAGATAAGATACATGGAATCTGACCAGTTAAGGTAAGATGTAAGTTGCATCCAATCAATGAAGATAAGATGCATGTAATCTGACCAGTTAAGGTAAGATGTAAGTTGCATCCAATCAATGAAGATAAGATACATGGAATCTGACCAGTTAAGGTAAGATGTAAGTTGCATCCAATCAATGAAGATAAGATACATGGAATCTGACCAGTTAAGGTAAGATGTAAGTTGCATCCAATCAATGAAGATAAGATGCATGTAATCTGACCAGTTAAGGTAAGATGTAAGTTGCATCCAATCAATGAAGATAAGAAGCAAGGAATCTGACAAGTTAAGGTAAGATGTAAGTTGCATCCAATCAATGAAGATAAGATGCATGGAATCTGACCAGTTAAGGTAAGATGTAAGTTGCATCCAATCAATGAAGATAAGATGCAAGTAATCTGACCACTTAAGGTAAGATGTAAGATGATAATAATGTATTTAAGATTCTTCTTCTGATTCTTCTGACTCGTCTGTGTCATCTGATGCTATTTCAGATGGAAAGACTTGGTTTTCATGTATTTCAGGGTTTTTCATGTCATGGAATCTTCTATAGCCGAAGTACCAAATTATCAGAGTTACATGAGAACAACATCCATTAACTCTGTTGCCAACTTTGCATCCGCAGCTGTGACCAATGATTGATTGGAGACCATCAAGTGTTGTATCTAAAAGGACATACACATAGTATTTGACGCTATTCGAGTGTCTGGAGCGAATTTGTGCTTTGAACAACAAACTGTTGCAGAATTGAACATTAATTCCATATTTTACGAAATCTATTTTTGACGTCTCTTTCGCAATTTGACAAAGAAAGTCTCCATTACTGTTAACATGGTCAGCAAAATATCTGTTTGCCATTCTAAGTTGGTAACATCCACAAGTGTATCTATATAAATCGTTTAAAGTGAGTATTGGAAATTCAATTGTAGAACTTTCAATAGATGCGAATTTAGAACGACGGCCATTTAACTTTTCTTCTTTTATGACAACTTGTAACAGGTTTTTCTGTGTAGATCTTTCTAGCATATTGTAGGCTATTTCTCTCTCAAGCTCATTAGGAATTGATTTTTTGAAAGTTAAGTTGTACAATGCACAAGCCACTTTGAAATCACTGAAAAGGTGAGGAAGAACTGTATTCTGAGTAGTTTGGTTAAAATACTTGAATTTAGATTTTACATTTCCATTCACCTTTTCAACTTGAAATCTTACTCTCGTAACTAACCTCGAGATATTTGCCTGTTCAGTAGTGAGAGGAAGTCTAGGACCATCTGCAAAGGATGGCATTTTTGATAAAAAGCCTTTTTCTTCAATGTGTGTCAGTGAATCACGAAATCCCCTATCAACAACTAACACATCGCCTTCTTGAAAGGAACTCCAATAATCTTTCTCAAGCAATTCGATCATTATTGAAGCATCATTCTTCTTACCAGGATACGGACCAAAAACACCCGCAATATAACCATCGGGATAAACAGCCATCATTGGCTTTATTAGATTCCGCGATTTGTGCATGCAATATGTATTTCTCTGGAAAGAGAAGTCTGCACCTTTTTGAATGAACAAATAAGTTCCGTCGAAGATGAGGATTATTTTGTCTCCATTAGGAGCATAAAATATTTTTGATGTTTCAGTTAAATGCTCAAATGCTTCAGTTCGATTTAAAGGAAATCTTAAATACTTTGGAATCAGCGTTTCTTCAAGACAATTCATTAAAATCTTACAATATTTACCAGCTGTATTTCTGTCGATTTTCCATTTAATAGCCAATTCCTCAAAAGTATAAGCTCGCCGTAATCGAGATAAATACACACCTAATGCGAATTCTTTGTTAATAACCGAAATCTCACAAGATTCAATGAGTGACAAAACTTCTAGATATTGTTCCGTATTCAAGCCTGTTTCGAAGATAAGAATATCACTTTTCATATTAAGAAATGAGATAATTGCACTAGAAGTAGTATCATTCACGTACATCTTTTTTAATGCTTGCAATAGATCATGAACATCATTTGATGTTAGGTTGACGGAGTCGCTGTAAGGAGCAAAATTGGTGGGAATTTGCAGAGCATCATTGCTGCCATGTGAATGACATATGCGTGCTCCATATTTCACAAAAATATTAGTTTTGAAATACACATGCAAACACTCCGTCTTGCTTAACAGTCTGAGTGTTTGTGAATTTTTGCAATCAAAAATGCATTGTCCATGATAGCCAGAAGCTTGATTAAGAGGAAGAGATATGGAATGCTCAATACTAGATGCGGAATCAGAGTCAATAGAATCACTTATAGTAGACACTGAGGTAGTTACATTAGTTCTTTTATGAATCAAGTTATAACACTTTTTACAATATGTAACACCAGACGATGTTCTGGTAAATGAGGATCGAGATCTTTTTTTTAAAGATATATTACACTCAGCACATTGATTGTCCATAATGAAACAAAAATCTACTTTCACCAGTTATAAATAAAATATACTTACCTTAAAACAACACATTAATTGACCAAAAATAATGAGATTAAACAGAAATGTTATCAGTAAGCATTGTTAAATCTATATATCACATTTTCAAACAACAGAACGTTAAAACAACAAAATAAATGAAAAATGGATACACTCAACAATATGTTTTAAAAAATGAGTACACTTAAAAATATTTTACATGCAGATGAAAAACAAATAAACTGCAGTAGAGATAGTGACGAAATATTATCGTTAATAAATAGACACATTCAATGATACGTTACATGCAAAAACAAAAACAAATGAACTGCAGTAGAAATGAAAAAGAAATATTCCTGTTAAGAAATGGATTTATTCAATGACACATTACATGCAGATCAAAAACAAATGAACAGCAGTAATGATGTTGAGAAACATTGTCGTTAAGAAATAAATACCCTTGAAAATTCGTTACATGCAAATGAAAAACAAATGAACTGCAGTACAGGTGTTGACAGAATATTCTCTTTAAGACATGAGAACAGTCAACAATATGTTAAATGTAGATTAAAAACAAATGAACAGCAGTAATGATGTTGAGAAACATTGTCGTTAAGAAATAAATACCCTTGAAAATTCGTTACATGCAGATGAAAAACAAATGAACTGCAGTACAGGTGTTGACAGAATATTCTCTTTAAGACATGAGAACAGTCAACAATATATTAAATGTAGATTAAAAACAAATGAACAGCAGTAATGATGTTGAGAAACATTGTCGTTAAGAAATAAATACCCTTGAAAATTCGTTACATGCAGATGAAAAACAAATGAACTGCAGTACAGGTGTTGACAGAATATTCTCTTTAAGACATGAGAACAGTCAACAATATGTTAAATGTAGATTAAAAACAAATGAACAGCAGTAATGATGTTGAGAAACATTGTCGTTAAGAAATAAATACCCTTGAAAATTCGTTACATGCAGATGAAAAACAAATGAACTGCAGTACAGGTGTTGACAGAATATTCTCTTTAAGACATGAATACAGTCAACAATATGTTAAATGTAGATTAAAAACAAATGAATAGCAGTGAAGATGTTGAGAAACAATTTCGATAAAAAATGAGTACACATAACGTTACGTTGCATGTAGATCAAAAACAAATGAACTACTTTACAGATGTTGCCAAAATATTCTCTTTAAGAAATAAATAACAGTAAACAATACGTTAAATGTCGATAAAAAACGAGCTGCTATAATGATGATGAAATATTCTTGTTAATTGAAAAGTGATGATCAGCACAAGTCAAATAGTAGATAAAAGTAGTTTTAAGCAAATTCAATGGTATATAAAAAACCATTCAACCATATCTGATCCACCATTTTGAATTTTGAAAAATCAATATTATATTCGTTATCAGCGACCCCAAAAACCCCCGAGTACCAATTTTTATGCGAATTGTATCATTTTTTTAAAAAGTCATCCGCCATATTGGATCCGCCATTTTGAATTTTGAAAAACCAATATTATATTCGTTATCAGCGACCCCAAAAACCCCCCGAGTAACAATTTTCAAGCGAATTGTATCATTTTTTTAAAAAGTCATCCGCCATATTGGATCCGCCATTTTGAATTTTGGGAAACTAACATCAGATTCGTAATCAGCGACCCCAAAAACCCCCGAGTAACAATTTTCAAGCGATTTTGATTTATTTTTTTAGATGTTATTAATTTTCATAAATTATTGGAATTTATGACTTAGGGGTAGTTTTTCACCCCTTTCCCTCCACTTTGCAACTTTTTAACTATCATTTTCGGTTTCAGCAGGGTTCAAACTGTTGGAAACCATTATGCTTTTACAATTCCCTTATAGGCAAATTTTGGCCCTTTTTCAGCACCATTCTTTCAATTTTATCCAATATTTCTTTTCTTATCTTTTATTTCATCCAATATCCAAATTTCAATTTTATCCAATATTTCTTTTCTTATCTTTCAAATAAAAAAAATCAAATGTTATTCAAAACAGAAAAAAATGTCAATTTCTTTATCCTTTAAATTCAAAATTAAAAAAACTATATCAAATGATAATATAATATTTAAAAAAATATAACTATACCTCTCACAAAACACTTTAATTAACTCTCTACAAATTGTAGAGAAATGATACAAAAAAAAGAAAAGAAAATATCTAATGTTATCCAAAATAAAAAAAAGTATATCAAATAGTAATGTGATATATTCAAAAAATGAATATACCACTCACGAAGCACGATTGTTAACTCTCTACACTACATACAAGGATTGATGTCCAAGTTAGTCCCGTGAGAGAAAGAAGCCTTCCCCCACCATACGGCACACCAAGTCAAAACTGAGTCCTGAGCAACTCTCACAGTGGGGATCGCTCGGACCCTTAAACCCTCATTAAGGAAAACTGTTAATGACTTTGTCTATAAAAATACAAATTTTTTAAAAAGTAACATTTTTTATTTTTCATTAACATATTTAAATTCCTTACTTTCTTACGATTCTATACATATGTTGTTTACCAAAAAATGTTAAAATTAAAAAAATTTATAATTTTTCCAGATACATAGAATGAAGTTAACTCTACCAAAAACGATACCTATTATTAAATAAATATTTAACTTAATCTTTAAATTTTAACATTTTTTTGGTAAACAACATATGTATAAAATCGTGAGAAAGTAAGGAATTTAAATATGTTAATGAAAAATAAAAAATGGTACTATTTAAAAAATTTATATTTTATAGAAAAAGTCATTAGCAGTTTTTCCTAATGAGGGTTTGAGGGTCATGCGACCCCCGCTGTGAAGGTTGCTCGGGACTCAATTCCAAGTAGCCCTGGCAGCGAGGGGCGTTTTGCTCCCTTTAACGGCGAACAGACGTACTAAAAGCGAACAGACAAAATATATGTATGCAAACGGAATACGGACTTCAATATTGTTAATGTTGAAATAAACAAAAATGATTTTAAACATTAAAAAATGTGTAATGGTTTTTCGATTTTATACCTAAGTTATAAAAGGCGTGACGATCTTTTTACATAAAGGAACACAAGAATACATCCCCAAAAAAGATTTTTTGCTATGATATAAAAAAATTCGGTGGCAGTCATAAAAGTTTTCATGATTTTTGGCAGTATTTTGAAAGGTTCTATGTCTTTTTCATGTTTTTGAGCTGCAATTATAAGAAAAACTGCTCAAAAACACCAGACATTCTGATTATTTTTCTGATGTTTTGGCATTATTTTTTTTAGTGAGGAGTAAATTATTTTTAATAGAATGTAAAGAAATTTCAATTATATTAAAAATTTTCTATTATTTGTTTATAAAAATTTAATTATCTTGAAACAACAGAATTGAAAAATTTTAAAAATCTTATTTTTCAAAATTTTCAAAAAAACTTTACGAAAATTCAATTTTATTAAAAATTTTGAAGTGTGTTTCTTTTTTAAATTAACTAATAAAAATTTTAATTATGTTTTAATCTTCGCACCAAGAAACATTAATACATTAGAATGTGACTCCTTATAAAATTTAATTATTTATCAGTTATTAAATTAAAATACTTTGAAAATTCGATTTGTTAAAAAGTTTTTAATGAAATTCTTTAAGGGGGAGTCACACCTTTGATCCGAAAAAAATTTTATTTTATTTTTTTTTGCTTAAACGATACTTTATGAGGTGTAGAATAGAAATTATATCATAAGAAGTAATTTCGAAGTTATTTTATGTGAAAAAAATCGAAATCTGTAAAAGGTGTCCAAGAGCGCTTCGAGTTCTTTTTAGCGCCATTGGCTATTTTTTCTTTTATCGTAGCAGCTCAAGAATACTGAAGACAGCTTCAAATTGCTCTAAAGGATGTAAATGAAGAAAATATTAATGTAGAAAGTCACTTATATGGTGCAGACATCGTAGATTAACAGTGGTTTCATTTTTCATGTTTTCACATTACATAAGTTTAAATGCGTTTTTCTCGAAATGACATTTTTCAATACGGTGGGCAGTCTAGCCAGAACAGTTTTGATCGGATTGACTTCGGCCAAAGTTTTTTTTGTTCGTCATTTACTAATGCTTTCGAGTACGTAGCGGATTTTTTTTGGTTTGTTTGTTTTTTTTGGCAATAAATATTTTGAAAAAATTTCGCTCTAAAAATCGACTTTTTTCATCAAACAGCTGCCAAATACACAAAAATTAATATTTTTAAAATATCCTACGTACTCGAAAGCTAAATCTATCGCAGATTCAGAAAAACTTTGAATTTTGGTTTTTGATTAAACGGTCTAACCAGAATATTGCCCACCGATTTACCCTGTATAGAAACGAGACCAACTTCGGCGCCCTCTGTAGGCAACAAATTGAAACTTTTTTTAAGTATAAATATATTTTCGTAAACTTAAAAAGTTAATAAATAAAGTCCTCGAAACCAAATTTTGTTTACTTTATTCCTGTCTTTAAAAAATTCATAAAAAATAGGTTTAAAAGGCACCTCAAAGGTGTCACTCCCCCTTAATAAATATTACTTTTAGTTGAATTTTACGAAATTTCTATTAATTCGATAATTTTTTTAAAAATTTATTTACATACTATATTTGAATCAGTGCCTGATTTTTTACTATCAAATTAATTATTTTTAACTAATTTAAATTTAGAGAACAGTATAAATATCTATAAAAATTGAAATAAAAAGCGATTTTTTAAACACAAATTAAAATAATAAAACTTTTTCTAATTTGATGCGAAAATTCCTGGTTTGGAATAAAATTTCTGGCTTATTCCCGGTTTTTCCCGGTCAATATATGTATGTATACTACTTTTTTTGTCACCGAGGCTACTATTTCCTACTTTTTTTTGTCATCGAGGATACTATTTCCTACATTTTTTTTGTCATCGAGGCTACTTTTTCCTACTTTTTTTAACTGATAATTGAGTGCGAAGCCTGAAATTCAATTACTTTTAAAAGTA